GAGTCCGGCCCTTTTGATTTTCTGACTCTAGCTCCTATAATATAGCAGTAGTTTAGAAAAAAACTTGTATTGAAGACAGATTAAAAAACAGCCCCCTGAGAAAAATTTATCATAAAGCCCAAGATTTTTCTTTCACAGGAGAGTCATAATTGCCCTCTGTCTTATTACAGTACCACTTACTGAAGTGTAATGAAATAGATTATAATAGTATAGTAACAGCAAGTGACCACTGACATAAGAAGACGTATGTCCATTTGCTTTCTCATTTTTAAGTACAGATAAGTACAACCATATAGTGAAAAAAAGTAACCAAATGTCTTGAAAAGATACATTACACTACAGTTAAATAAATAACACTTAAGGTTAATGAGTTTACTTCATTTAAAAAGAACAACAAACAAACCTTTAGAGCAACATCCCATGTATGCCATGTAAGGAAAAGGGGCCTGGAAGTTTAGAAAAGCAGTGGCTAAAGCATCCAGTTGTTAACCAATGGTAGGTAGTTGGAGCCTACCAGCTGCTGGGCTGGAGAAACACAAAGCCGTCTGTTTCCATAAAGACTTTTGGCCTTGGAAACTCTATGGAGCAGCCTCTACTCTGTCCAACAGGGTTGCTATGAGTTACAGTCAACAAAACAATTGTTTCAATCATTCAAAAAGAACTTCTAAATAAAAGCTTAATTTATTAGGAAAAAATTATGCAAAAAAAAAATCATGCAATACTTTTCATTTCCTAACATTCACTGCCACTAAGTCAATTCAAACTGGCAGCAACTCTTCAAGCCAGAGTGCGATGCTTGACAGGGTTTCTAAGGCGACAGTCTCTACAGAAACAGACAGTCACATCCTTGTCCAATGGAGAAAAGCCTGGTCAGGTCACCAATCTTTTCACTAGAGTCAAAATAGTTTAACCTCTGTACCACCAGATATCCTCATTTCCTAATGTTACTTGCTGAATTAGGTAACTTTTATTATTAAAAATAAAAGCACATACTCATCTTATGTTCTAGCTATAAATGTTAATGTAAAATATAAAGAAATGAACATACATATACATTGAGACCTATCTATTCTGGTTTAAACCTAAATTTTAAATTTATCCCTCATATTTTATGTACCATACAAGTTCATCCAAGCAGTCGCCTTAGCAACCCAACGGAATATGGCACCAACTGGACAGTAGTTGTTACACTGTACTTACAATATTTTATGTACATCTATTAATATCTCCTTCCTAGGTTAAATGTCACAGAGTCAAGAGACAGTGGTTCCCAATTTGGTTTATACCTTGGGTCTCACGTAATCATGTAAATAACCACACAATCTCCTTCCATATGTTAATCATTTTTAAATTTAACAAAGAAAGGTACCTCAGTGAAAAATCCTACCACCATTGTCTTTCTCTCCTATCTCCCAAAAAGTAAAGAAAGTGAAATAACTCCTAAAAGAATAAAATTAAAAATCTGTAGCTTTCTCTCTGGAATGACTCCCCAGTACCTTCAGAAATATTAAGAGAATACTTACCCTGATATGTCAGAATAGATGGCAGTATCTACAAAGTATGTTGGTAAGAGATGAAAAACCAGCAGTAAGATGGCCTTGCATCCTAAGCCTTGTGTGAGCCACAGGTCGAGAACTGCAGGTACTGCTGCCCAGTATGTCCCCAGAAACGGTACTGCGCCAAGGATTGCTGCCAAAGCTAATACAAAATTAAAAGAGGAACACTATCATCAAAACAGTGATGAAACAGATAACTAGCTCTTCCTGCTAAAAAAACTCCACTAAGTCCAACAAATAATAACTCAAGATGTAGAGGAATGGTATACTCTATGCCATTGAATTTTTCTTGTTAACTGAAGGTCTGATATCTCAAAATACTGAAGGTATTTCTCTATCTACTCTGTGAATCTGTCCTTAAGCAGCAAAATTTTGTTGTTGTTGTTATGCACCATAAAGTAAGAACTCACAGCTGACCCTCCAGAGATTGTAAATCACATGGGAGAAGCTAGCTCATCTATAAAATTTTAGTGTCCTATGATTACTCTGTGAGTCAAAGATTCAGATGTGAATCACCCAATGACTGTGAACACACACTCCTATTAACATAGCAGTAGTCAAAATCTGCAGCAAATACAAAGTCAAATCAGAAATTGGTTCTAAACCTCATATACGAATGCATATTCCTTTGTCTTACTTATTTCTGATGAAAATGGACTGTGATTTAAAAAGCAAAAGCAAAATAACTCTGCTATTGGAAGAACTTACAGCAGCATGTTCTAGCATTCTTTTCATGTGGCTACCCTCCAGATTAGAGTCAGCACATTTGCTGACTCTAGTCCTGCTTCTACCATTAACGAGGTGTGTGACCTTGGAAAATTGTGCTTTCTCATCTGTAAAACAGGATAACACTACCTAGTCTGCCTGCCTCACAGAGTTAAAATAACAATCTTCATGTGCTCTCATGGGCCTGCATGACAGAGGCTGTGGGAGTGAATACCAAAATAGAAAAAAACAGGAATGAGCATGAAGCTATAAAGAAGGAATGCAATATAATAAAAGAATAGAAGTAACTATGGAAGGCAGATACAGTTAGGAAGACAAACAGTCACAGAAACAAAGAAAAAGTGGAAGAAAGGAGGACAGAAGAATGTCTACCTGTGCTTCCTTGACTATGCAAAGGCTTTTGACTGTGTGGATCACAACAAGCTGTGGCTGACTGTGAGAAGAATGGGAATCCCAGAACATTTGATTGTGCTAATGCGAAACCTATACTTAGACCAAGAGGTAGTCATCAGAACAGAGTAAGGAGACCCTACATGGTTCAAAAATCAAGAAGGGGGTCCGTCAGGGATGTATTCTGTCTCCATACCTTTTCAATCTGTATGCAGAACAGATCATCTGAGACGCTGGGCTGTACGAAGAGGAATGTGGCATCAGGATTGGTGGAAGAGTCCTCAACAACCTGTGTTATGCAGATGACACAACCCT